CCCCCCCCAAAAAAAAAATAAATATTTAAAACATTGTTTGGTCTATGGCCTGCAGAAGTATCATGCAAGGTTTGGTGGACATAGGCAAATTTATAGATGAGCTAGATTTTTTTTAACGCGGACAGACGAAAGTGAACAAGCTATAGGGTGCGATTTCGTAATTGTGATGGGCGGTGGGGGTCGCCAAGGTTTGTGACAGAAGTGGGGGCTGGGAATAAGGAGTTTGACTATCGGTTTTACTTTCTAGACCTTCTTTGGAATAATATGTGAGGGGAGCTCTGTCTGAAGAACAGTCTGTATCATGTTAGGTTAGGGAGCGAATGCTCATGGTTCGAATCCATAATGAGATGTTCTTGAACTTGGGTGGTTTGAGCAGTTTTAAAGGCTTTCTGCATACTGAACTAAATTTACATCGGAAATGGACTTTAGATTAAGATATCCTGCCTTTAAAGTAAACGTATATCTTTCTAGTCGTACAAACATAGGATTGTCAAATACTCACTTTGAGAATATTGCGATATCGCCCAGCATCTGTTGATAGAAAAATGTGTTTATATACACGTTTAATTCTTTGGAAATTATTCCAAGTTTCTCTTTTTCCGTGTCTTATGATACCTTAAGTAGTACATTTCTCTCTGGAGACAAAGCGACAGATATGCCCTCCACCTCTCCCCCTCCCTCCTCCTCCCCGACTCTCCGAGCACACACATACACTAAAATCACAACAAAAGAAAACAAAATAAGATCACAACCTATTTTGAATGATGCTGTTGAGGAACTCTAATGTATAACCTATGTTTTGTTTTTAAATGCTGGTGCGTTTTTTCAAGCCCACCTCGCGTTACAATTCAGGGCCTATAGAAGTACGCCTTCGGTCCGGCCTGACAGGACCAACCAGGCCTGAAAAGGACACAACGTCCTAACAAAAAGACCAAGATCCTCAATAAAAATTCTCCCCACAAGAGAATTTGAACTCGAGTCTTCTGCGTGAAAGGGCTAACGCCTAACCACTATACTAAACATGTGCCGCACACCCATACACCTATTATTTTTTATTCCATCGGCTTCTTGAATTTCCTGGCCCTCTGTGACATCATAGTCATCTGTCTGTCCGTCTGTCTGTCTGTCTGTCTGTCTGTCTGTCTGTCTGTCTGTCTGCCACTCACTCTCTCGCTCTCCTTCTCTCTGTATTTGCGTGCGTTCGTGCGCCCATGTGCACGTTTCTTAGAGCATAATTATGATCAGCTTTCCAGATTACCTAAAATGATGTATTACCAATTCTTTTCTTTTTTTTCTTTCTTCATCACTGATTAATGGTGTAATGATTTTTTTTCTTTAAAAAATCGTGCCTTAACCTTGCCCCTTCCTTTAATTTTTTTTTTGGCGCTACTGTTTAAGATTGAGTTGAAGGGACGAAAGTCATTGGTGGTGAGTTGGATTAGCCATCTGTCTACCTCTGTCTCCCACTTTTTTTCGCATCATCTAAGGTCTCCCCAAGAACTATTATGTAAATAGTAATTTTAACCCTCTTCCATAATAACCATGAAATGATCATTTAATTAAGCCTCTTCTTGACAACTATGAATTAAGATGAGATAAGATAAGATAATACTTTATTATCCCAGAGGGAAATTTTTCTTGGCTGTACAGGACCGTAAAAACACATGGAGGTATACATACAAATTTAAATTATAAATTACTCTAATTAAAATTCAGTATGAAAAGAGGAGTAAAGCTGACAAAATGTACATATTATCACATCAGATGCATCATTCAACCACATGCCGGAATTTAATTACAAGACCTTTGGAGTTATATAGAGATATATACTTTTAACTCTCATAGAACTTTGAAACTGTAATTTTAATTTTAACCCTCTCCTACAATATATAACTATTGGATTGTAATTTCAACCCTCTTCAATGAAATCTTTTCAGAATTCTTTCACAACAACTTCGATATGGTATTTTTCAGCATCTTTCATAACCATAATGAAATGGTAATTTTTGCCCCCTTTCGTAACAACTCTGAAAGGGCAATTTTAATCCTCTTTCACAGTGAGCATTTAGTAGTGATTATAACCCTCTATCATCTCAAGTCTGAAAGGGTAATTTTAACCCTTTACATAACAACCCACAGCTTGAATCTCTCATCGACACTCAACGGCAACAGAGGGTGAACATGTAAAAGTAAAGTAAATGAAACATCCTGTTCGCTACCATAGAATTACAAAGTTCCATCTGCTCAGAACCTACACTCGTATTTTTGACAAATTTGACGTTAAAAATTATGAGTTTCACAATAATATTTCAAACTTTATCAAATGCTGTTCTTTGAATATCTTGATAAGGACTCAGAGTAACCTTACGATTTTGATAGAGCAGACAGAGCATTTGATTTCTGACCTCATGGCCTTAGTAACTCGGCCAAAACAATGTCAGAATCAGATAGAACTTCTGAGGTAGCGCACCGCCTGCCCACGAATACCTGGTGGAGGTGGGAAAAATCCAGATAACCTATCCGGATAACCGGATAATTCTCAATGAAACATTATCCGAATTCAGACTCTCTTTCCTGACCTGTTTGCCGAAGTAGGTGCACCCATTTATTTGTTGAAGTGATGCTAACCCGTTTGTTGAAGTGGTTCTAACCCACTTGTCGAAGCGGTTCATAACATTATTCGCCGAAGAGGTAAAAGTAAAGTTGTTCCTGCATTTGACCCGGACATTGTGGATTGCCTTGTTAGTGCGAGGGAGCCAACTTCCTGGGCCTTCGGCATATTGTGGTAGGATGGCCAGTTCCTTTCCACGCCACCTTTACTTCCCCAACACGAAGTCAGGTACCCATTACTGCTGGGTGTGCAGGAGGGGTCGAAAGAAATCCGTGTCCGAGCCGAGGCTCGAACCCGGACTTTCTGCTTCGGAGATGAGCGCACTAACCGCTCCGCCACCGCACTAACATGTTATCGGGTGCTCTAGTGGCCTAGAGGTTAAAGTGTTCGCCTCTTATTCAAAGGTCCCGGTTTCGATTTCGGGTGGCAACGGAAAAAAATTCTTCTCTAAAATTGTCTCTTTTCACCTCCTTTCCTGCTCTTTAGCAATAGTCTGTCGTCTGCTTTCGTCTCCACTTTCTGTCCAGACTCCCTCACCCCTTTGCCCCGTCCTCTTGGCTCCTAATTCTTTCCACAGCCTTTCCACTGCTTCTCGTTGGCTTCTGACTGCTGTCTTTCAAAAGCACCCCCGATCTTCTGGTAGGAAAGATCTACACCTAGCCTTCTCGGACAAGGGAGAAAAATCTCGGAGTTGGTGGTCTAAAATAGATAAGAGTAGGCTTTGGTCCCCACGCGGGCAAAATTCAAAATTTCCTACCAACTGAAAACGTTAGGCGTGTCCCGCACACTCATATGACTTTATGCAGTTGCGAGCGCCGTAAAACACTTACAC